TATATATATATATATATACAAAACATCGAATCGTAGCATTGTTTCTTCAATGGACTGGTTCTAAAAGAGCTGTCTATCCAATAGTCAAGGGTGTTGCAAACAAGGTTAATGTGATGTAATTACCTTTCCTGGGTACAAGCATATGAATTAACGGACAAGAGATTGCCAAATAAGCATGCCTGACGAGCGGCAAGAACCGCGAAATCGGTCATGTGCTTCCAGGGAAATTTTGTCCAGTCATTGACATACTACTTGTTATCAAATATAAATAGTGAGCACTGAAGCGATAAAAGTCTTGCCCGTTAGATTTCATTTATGCAACATTTACAAATCTCGTTTTTCATTGAACGAAGTCGAAGGGCATTCTTAGCTAGGAAATGCATGAAAGTTGCGCATAACTCGGAACACAGAACGTTTATTGACAGATATGTCATAGGAAACTTATCTGGGATCTGTGGTCGTGGCTGAAACATGACGATTCAGTGGATCGTATGTTTATTTTTTATTGACGGTGGTTCGACAAGTTTAGCGACGTGATCCTCGGGTATTTTGGTTCTGAGCCTTTGCGCATGTGCTTAGGCCCTCTACGTATAATACCACTGAACAGGCAGAGTACTCTATGGTCATTTTTCCGTTTTCTGCAGCAGTACGAGGTAAGAACTTCGCACAAACGGATGCTGGTATTGAAACCAACAGATATACTCGCGGGAATATCGAAAAAGGGTTGTTCAGTGCTCTCGCTAGTCCAGTGCATGTTTCAAAATTCCGAGCAATGTGATAAAAAGAAATAAGACAACAAATTATCTGATCTGCATCCGAGAGAACAACCTGTGACAAGTCAGTCAGAACACAGCTTAGATAAGTTATTTCAAAATGAATTGTGCGGTGGAAACGATGACAAACCCCGTCACTGACGTACAAGAAGGGGCCAGGATTTCTTGAAATCAGCATCGGGTTCTGTGGAGATTACAACAGGTTAAAAAGACCATACATGCTAAGCGCACTCATATGAGGAATCAAGAGATAAAGATGAAACTGGACGGATCGGAAAATTCACAAAAATACTGACGTGACACCAGGAACAAACCAATTGTATATAATGGACAGTATGCCGTATGGTTCACAGTCAGTAAACAACCTGTGGAGACCTACGCGGAGATACTTGAACTTTTCATTTGGACGTTTCACACAGCTTAGGGGGATGGGACAGCATGCGTTTCACATAAAGTCCCCATAGTAAACACACACACCTCATACATCACGAAGCCGGGGTCATTCTTGCTAGCATCCACATTTCGGAGCTGATCACTTCCTGTCCTTGATGCAGCCTTGTCGAGACGAGTAAATCGAAAAGCCATCATGAATAATTCATTTCCAGCACTTAAGGTGGCCTCAAACAGATAGAGGGGAAAACAGTAACGCCCCAGTTTGCACAAAGCCGATCATCAGTATGCAGAGAGAGGGAGTGTGTGTGTGTGTGTGTGTGTATTAATGTTTTCGATCAAAAATGGAAATGCCAAACTCAAATGACCTGAAACAATCGGGGTTCGCAGGATATTGTCCCTATGTTTTAATTGTATCTCTTTTAGTTGCTTTCCAAAATGATATTTTGCTTTTCTATGATTTTCTTAGGCTTCGCTGATCCACGTATGAAAAGTGATCATTGCTGTGTTCTGATTGTCGAAGTTGGATAAATAAATTCTAGTAACGTTATGATTTTGGCAGAGATTATATATATATATATATATATTGGACGGGATTATACGGCCACATGACCCCTTCGATCAAACGCACATAGCTAACGATGAGGTATTTGAAATAGGCCGTGTCATTTTTTGTTATCGCTGGAGCTTTGGCTTTTTCATCACACACAACCTCTGGATATAATTTTGTATCAATTACGGTGATCTCAATGATAACCTACAACGCGCTCAGTTTAATTTCCGTACGAATATCCGTGGAATATATCAACGAACCGTCCTGACGTGCTTTTTCTCGTTTTGTGAGAAATAAGGTTTAAAGGATCACCAGAAATTCACATGGCAAACGGAAAAGACATCGCGCTGGCTGGAAAGTTGCACTTGAGCACCAAAACCTGAAGAGTATTGGTTTTCCGATCATTCTGTCGTCGAACATCTGCTCGATTCTTTTCAAGCTAACGGACTTCGGTCTTCTGATTCACTACGGAGAGCACTCCAAAAGTTGTGTGCTACTTTTTTAAAAATCTCGGTCACAAGAATCCGTTGAGGACGAATGGGTTCAGATCGAAGGCTTCCAATTATTTCGAGCAGATAGACCTCCAGGAAGGAAAACTAAAGGTGAAGGCGTCATCACTTATGTGCGCCGGTCGTGGTGTAACTCTACCAAATGCATATTCACTCACTGTACACAAAACATTTCTTGTATTTCCGTAGAATGTAAACCACGTTTTCTCCTGCGTCACTCTTCGATCATCTTTTCAAACCTATACGTCACTCCTGACTGTACTCCTAGTGAGTTGTCTACCTTCCTGGATGCATTCTATCCACTCATGTTGGATAAATCTATTTCGCCTGTTCGCCGAGCTTGCAAATTTGTTTGCAAACGTTTCATCACCAGCCGAGGTGGCATCATCAGTGCTTGTGAAGTGGCAGTGTTCTGCCTGTACCCGTTCGTTGGAGAAATTTGTCACACCTGTATTCATCGCTGCTGGCGATTTCAACAGATCTGATGTGAGTTTTTACACCCTTATGTCCCTTCAGAACATTGTTACTTTTTCCACTCGAAATGATGCCTCCTTGGGACACCTTTTTGTTAACGAATCATCTTTTTCCGTGCCTTTAAACGTGCACCAGTGGGCAATTTCGATCACTGTCTGATCAAAGTATTTTACCTACAATATATAGTAAATAAAAGCAACAAATCCTGACGAAGAACGATGCACGTAAGATACGTTTACGACAAAATCATCTCACCAATTTGATGGAATTAAAATCCATGGTTGGCGGTACGAACTTACAACATCTCTTCGATCCTGATATTTCAGTTTTCTGTGAAAACCTTACCAATTACCTCAACTATTTTTAGGATGTGTGCTGCCCTCAGGAAAGGATTCATCTATAGCCCAACCGCTTCATCTCCGATAGACTGAAATGGTTACGAAGGCTGAAAGAAAGGGCGTATCGCTTGAGAGATGAACTGACGGGCAAATCTGTCAATTTTTACATCAGAAGCGAGATAGCCCATCTCAATCAATTGTGTGCTGACATCGTGCTAGGAGAAAAATCCTGCCGTCGGCTATGAAACGGATTGAAGCTGCTCTGTGGTCGTTCAACCTTACCTACTACAGTCTCATGTGATATCAATGAGCTCAACAGATCTTTCGCTTCAGTAAAAAACGTGCAAGCTTTACCGAGTCCAAACACAAAGTCATTTGATTTCCACCCTCCTGTGTCTGTCACAACAGAGCAAGTTTTAAAGGAGTTAAATGCTGGCAATGGAAATAAATCCGCTGGTCCTGATGGGTTATTCCCAGTGGTCCTTAAAACAAGTGCAAATCACCTCGCACAAACCGTTTCATTTATCTTTAATACATGTTTGTCAGAAGGAAGACTAGTTGACTCATGGCGTGATGTGCGCATCATTCCAGAACCTAAGAAAGAAAAGGGTAAGTTTCGGCCTATTGCTTCATCTTCAGTATCACTTTTGAGCGTATTATTATTCAGCACTTATCCACTAATCTTGATTTTTGTGATTCCAATCAGTTTGCTTATTGTAAGCGTCGCTCTACTTTAGATGCGGTTGCTTGTCTTATACATTCTGTTTTATCCACTATAGACCAAAACCACAAAATTGTTCACATTTGTTTCTTGGACTACACAAGCGCGTTTAACTCCGTCGACAGAAACATCCTATTGACACTGTTACAGCAACATAATCTCCCGCCGCATCTTTTGACTGGGATGCACAATTATTTTACCGACCGACGCCAATTCACTTGTCTCAATGGTATTAGCTCTTCTACTGCTACTGTAGACCAGGGTGTAATGCAGGGTGCAATTTTATCGCCATTTTCTGTGCACCTTTTATATATATAATTTGTCAGTTACCCCAAACGTTTTCACCTTTAAGTATGCCGATGATATAGTAGTTGATGGTGCATCTCACAACAACAACCCTTCAACTTACCGCTTTCAATCAACCATGAGTTCCATTTCTGAATGGTCCGATCGTGTCAACCTTCATTAAACCCCAATAAATGCATTGAAGTTTTGTTTTCCATTGGCCGTAGGCTATCAACTCTTTTTGGATCATCTGTTCCCAATATCTTGATCAATAACTTAAAAGTTGAAAGGTCACAACACTTCAAGTATCTTGGATGTTTCGTGTCTGCCGATCTCAACTGGTCCTATCATGTAGATCAAACACTCTTTGAGGTCAGAAAGTTTACCTTTTATATTTCACGCCTTCGGCATCTAAGAGGGTCATTGTACATCATCTCATGCGTTTTATGCCATTGAACCTATTGCTCTCCCGTTATCTTTCCCGGTCTGCTGTCTAAGGATTTCATATTAATTAAACGCCGTCTGAAAAGCATCTCTAGATATGGAGCTGTATCTTATGAGGAGCTGGTTGATTCCATTGTTACTCAACACCTGACAGCGTGTGACTGTCTGTGTGACTCCATCCTGTCCGATGCATCACATCCCTTACACACAGCTCTAGCTAACTTCTTTTCAACTTCTGTTACTGGTAATAGATTTAAACCTTTATTTTCTCGTACCACTGCCTTTCATAACTCCGTTGTACCCTACTTTTCACGTTTGTTGGTTTCTAGGGAGCGAATATCAAACGAACTTATACACAGTCTAATGTAAATTTGCACACTGAAATTTTCTCTATTTTCTACGCGTTCTCGGTGTCCGATTCATTATTATCTCAGTAACTACTTATCATATCTTTAAGCTCATTTTCAATAGCGCACATGCCAAAGCAAAAGCGATAACATTCTTTTCACTGAAAATTCCGTCTACATTGGAAGAATACAGTGCACTCTTGACTTGACTTGACCTATGTAACTCACCTTATATACAATCGGCCCGATCCGGGGCATTTGCACTTTCGGGAATGAGCGAATCGAAGCGAGCGCGGTCGGTTCCAGTTCGAGGCCCAGATTGTGTGCACCATCTGGGCGGACCGTACGACGACTGAAACTGTCCACATTATCCTCTTCGGGCTCGTCCAGCGCACAACTGGTTGGCTGTTGCGCGCGACTTTCTGCGCTCTGGATCAATTTCATGTATTTGTATTCCAGACTGATTATATTGACGAATTGAAAGCCCAGAATGCGAGGCGGGACCGAGTGAAACGGAGAGAGAGGAAGGGAGGAAATGAGTCAGGAAGAAACTAGACATCAGACAAATTAATAAATACTGGGAATAAAGTCCAAAGTAACAACCGCGTTCGGTTACACACACACACACACACACACACACACGGACACAAATAGTTCGGTTGTTCACATGAGAATTGCCACGAATATATATGTGGCCGAATTACTTTCGCCTCCAGGGTAATCCAGTTGTAGATATACTATCTATGTGGTGTGCTATAGATGTCGTAAGTGAGTGAATGCCGTGACAAATGGAACTTGTTACCAAACCGACGACGACGATTTGGATGGACAAAACCGTTTTGATTTTATTCATGCATCAAGTTCGCTTAAGGTAAGTGAGACGAGAAAAGGATGTTCCAATGCGTCAGAGAAGCCCTACAAAAATAGTAGATTGGTCGCATTAACCTAAGTGAGTAAAATAATGTGCATTTTGACTGATGTAGTAATTCTTTTTCTTGTGTGCGTGTGTTTGGGGGGGGGGCATACCGATACATTATCATGCAACCCTGTTTGTAGTTTACAGTTCCATTGCGGTCTTTCGAATGTGGTATAAACTAAAAGGTAGATCACACAGGGAGCTCCATTTCTGTGGTTTCAGAGTACCGTATTCACAGGGGTGACAGTGATATGGTTCCAAACCCACCTCTGGCAGTAAGAAACAAGCTGATGAACAGTCGGATTATCATGGATTATGTGATTCATCCATTCTGCTGTTCATCAAGCGGACGATTATTTCTCCTATTCAAGAACGTATATATCGATTGAGTTCACTATAATTCAAATAATATTTGTTTGTTTGAACAAATATCGATCGTGCACTTTCGTGCAGCGGTTTTGGTGGCCCAATTGAATGAAGGGGTTTAAAGACGGTTGGAATGATAAATTTCAAATAGAAAATTGTAAATTGCAAAGAAACGGAGAAAATGCGCGATTGTCACTGTTAGTGACACTCAGGTATATTACTGAATGATCCCCAGGCCCTCATCCAGGGAGCCACACACGACCTATATGACGGAGTCTCCTGGTCAGCGTTTTCATGCTTTTATGCCAGGCCTTAGTTCGACTAGCCGACACCTGCCTCGGTCAGCAGGGCGCACCGTGGCAATCTATTTGGTGACATATGTAACACATGTCCCAGCCAACTCAATCTATGGAGGTCAACTACTTTCTCCAGTAGGCGACCACGATCATCTAAAACTCTGATTTCAGTGACATGACCCCAAATCCACCGCCAGCATTTTGGATATCATTTTAGATGTGAAGTACAAGATAAACAAAAGTCGGAATATCGCAGAGGACTCAGTTTATATAGCACTCATAAGAATGAGACTGTAATCGAACCCGCTACACTTCATGAGAAGGCCAAGAGGAGTGGATCTCATCTGAAGATTACATTCAGTTTTAGTTTAGTGTATACCCAAACTGAGGTATATTTGTATATTACTGCTAGCATGGCAATCAGATTACAAAACTCTGAGGAAAACTCATAAACTAATTTGTACGAAAGTGCCAGTGGCTACGACTATTTGACCCCGAAAAGAAGTTCCATGTAATACTCTTCGCAGTTAACGTGTATCTGTTGAACAGAAAGTGCACCATGGATATCATAATTTTAATTCTTTTTTTCTGAATCTTTAAAAACTAGAACCCGATATACGAAATCGTTTGCTCAGAGAAAGCTGTCGTGTTAACTTTATCGTATTCTCTAATATATATATATATATATATATATATATATAATGCACTCAGATTTTAAGACCCTTTGCTCAATAAAATAACAGGATTCTTAGCCATGAATATATCAATAACGACCGTCTCACGGTAACTGATTACTGATGGTTGTATAAACTAAAACTGAATCATGATCACATTCCCTTTTGAAAAAGAACTAATCGGTTGTGATAGTGTGTGTGTGTGTGTGATTGTTACCGAAGGTTCGAATGAAAATTTTAAAAAATCCGTACACAGAATACCAAGTCAAAACAATGAACCGATGGACACACCATCGTAAAATGGTTTTGTTCAGTCACTTACCGCTTGTTCCGTCGATGACAGATGACAATAATCAGAGTGAGGAAAGCCATTACGAGCACAGTCAGAATGATAACTGCAAGCTGGCCTCTGGTTACCATCGGACAGGATTGGATCTCTTTCAACAAAGTTCCTTCTGCAATCCGACATCCTCTGAAGGAAAAACAGATGTCATTCATTGATTGTGTAACAGAGGAAACCGATGTGATCGATAAGAATGCCGAGTGATAATGCGAGCCAAACATTTTATTGTGCTTCAAGCAATCGGGGGATATTATGGTGTTTCCTTTCGACGGAATCGATCAGTGGCCAGTTGTTCTTTCGAGGATGAAAGGCATTGATTTTTCCATCATCACAAACAAATCAGTCGGTCATGTTCATTACATCGGACCGTTACACTAATTTGACAACTTTCAACTCTATATCGAAAAAAAATCTTTGTGTACCGTAATGTTTTCTTGACGTCACGAAGGGAATATTCAATGAATGAATATATCTAAAATATCTATCCAGCAAATCCATTGGGCTTCCAGTCCCGTACGTGCTGACCATATGAACCTCTCTTACCGGGTCTAGCTAATTCGACCGCCTAAGTGATTAGCGCGTCATTCCCGGGTTCAAGTCCCAGTCAATTCGATAATTCTTAATAGGGATAAACCAGCACATACCGGGCTCCTCGGGTGTGAGAGAAATTTTCACTGTGCACGACCTATATAATTTCATCAACCAAATTTTACATATGGATCTGATTTACTTACATTCAATAAAATACCTCTGTAAGGATGTCTCAAGTATGTATTCTAACCCGTTTGTTCATTGAGTGACCACAAGGGTAACCACAAATGCGGAACAGAAACACAATACTAATGCTTGAGTAAAACAAACTCCTACAAAGAATCGAGCAATCCACTAGTAGAAAACAATCAAAATGAACACTTTGGTCATACGTTGGATTGATCTGTGTGGCAGGCAATAACATATTTTTTCAGTCGGATTAAAACGAGTCATGGTTAAGTATACACAATCTGAAACTATGGCATTTCGGACATGCGTTCGAATTAAAATAAATCGACCAGTAGTGCAGCCACTAGAATAATGAATCTTCCGCAAGGATACACCAGGCTGTATGAGCTATTTTATCCTCTGTGATAGTCCACTTTTTTTTCCCGGGGAGGAACTCAATATGTTACTTTGTTCGTCACAAAGAGGAAGTGTGTACTGCGTGTTGGTGAGATGCAGAGAGGATACGGCTTAAATCAGCGTTTCAGCGTTCGATTTAGCCAACAGTCCTCATCACTTAACTACGAACCTTTTTCACCCAGATAACGAGAACAGATTGGTTTTGCACGCAGATTGACATCATCGAACAGTGTATTCAATGCAAGAAAAATGATCGAAATAACACGGACTTACCATCTAACCCGCGGATGATGCGGTCTTATGTCTAGCTAACTCAAACCAGTCTGATATGGAATTATTTTCTGACAGTTAAGCACAAATTCATGTATTATTGAACCATTCCGGTCTCTAGTTGAATGCTTCTAAATGTTTCGAATGTGCTTTTTAGTCTTCCCCGGTCTAAGTACTCTTGTAACCCTCAGCCATCACTTCCGAAGCCACTGCCGGAACGCATCACCAGATATCCCGGAATCGCTATAGAGAGCAATCTACGGTAGTCCTTTCATGTGCAAGTCTGTGTTGGTAGACTGTGTCTCTTATCCTTGTAGATACATAAATGACGACAGAGGGAAGGATTCAGCCACATTTTATTTTGTATATCAGTGCATTTTTTCTATCATACTTTCGTGTTCACCGGTTATTTTCCCTGACCTATTTAAAGAATATTTCATTATCCTTAGCCGCGGTTAGGTAGTTATGAACTGTGTTTCCCTTATTCCCATAAACGCTGTAGTCACAAAACTGTGTGATTTTCATATTACGTCATGCGAGAATTTCGCCCATAAGATACTCAACGACCCTAGTCACCCGCTCAATCCCGATCAAACTGCCTGTCGCGCACAAGCAACAACCCGAACCACAGTTATCGCCACTCATCCTCTTGCATAAACATTTTGTCGTATTCTGACAGTGCCCTATTTGGCTCATACGCTAGCTGAGAAGAAGGTCCTAAACGAAGCAATTTTAACTATGCATAGATGATCTTATGTTTACATGTAATCATTGTTTTTATACGACTGTTTTGACTTTTAATCCCGTTGTGACGGTGAACACATTTTTTGATTGAAATGTAAACTGAAATATAAAGTTTCGTTCTTTTCTCTTGCTCATGTACACGTCAACACGTCATTACCTGGGTGCAGACCAGTAAATTGTCCGTTTGCCATGATGACATTCACCAACAATTTGCCGGAAATCTTGTTTTCGGCAAATCGGACACGCCTGAAGTCCGGTCCAGAGAAATTGATAAAGACATCCGTCACATGTCCCGTCCGGACAGAGGGGTGGTACCTCTAGCGTTTCAGACGCGGATCGGTGCGTCAATAGACCAAATTCATCCCCGAAACCGTAATCAAATCCCATGTCACATCGTAGAGTTACCACTGCTCTTCGACCTTGTGGACATGTGGGAGTAACACTATGTCAATGAGGTAAAGCAAATAATGAAATCCGTATCAGGCGTTCTCATTTTTCATACATAACACACGGATGATAGTCAAAAATTGGTCAATTGGGTTAAATCATTTTCACTGACATAATTTGAACCTCAGTGTCCTAAGTCTGAAACTGTCCAGTTTTGGTGGCCCTCTTCAACCCAATAGTTATCCGTGATTACAATCCTATCCCCGGTAATTTTGTGGCTTTTTGATCGGATTACAACTGAGACCGAGCGTTAAACTTTATTTTGTTCTTGTACAAATCCATATAATGTTTTTGGGAAGGGGGTGGGTAGAAAGTTTCACTGTTTCAAAACCTGTTTTGTTTCGGGGCGGTGATAGCCTGGGGATACTGTTACCTAATCATCACCCCGGAGGAGGACGAGTGTTCAAATCTCACCACAATCACCATCTGACTTCCCCCATTTGTGTGTGTTGAATGGAAGCCTGTTGATTAGTCGCTTCCCCCCTTCCTGAATATTGTAGCATTATTATTATTATTATTATTATTATTGAATAAAAAGAAGTAAAAATAAAAATAAAAACGAAAAAAAACATCGATGATCACTGGAGTAAAAATGAAACCACATTACATTCTAAAAACAAAAGCATGCTATGTTTTGAAAATAATGATCTATTAACACCAACCAATCAGGCCGTGAATATAAAGTGCTGTCTGTTGAAAAAAGTAACCCTTTCAATCATAGTGGTTTGACTGTGTCTGGTTTGACGTCTTAACTAACCTACAGATAGTAGAGCAAAGCCCGATGACAACTATTGTTTTCCATCGAATCCAGAGTGATTTGGGTTGTTTTGATTCTTTCAAGCCGTGTGCAAAGCACCTGAAACCGTAACCTACACTGAATTACGGTCAGCGCCGGTCTAGCTACAGATCGCCAGCAGAGGATGTGAGAAGTACATGATGATCTCTAAGCGGGTTAATTGTGTTGTACTTGGAGTATCATGCACTCCTTTGTTTTTCATCACTTACCTGACCCTATCCTGTAACTCCGAGAAGTTCAGGTATGCATCAGAAGTAATGTTTAGAGAAAACAGAATAATGTTCGAACTAAACTAGGTGATATGGCCTGTAAAGAAGGATACTTCTGAGCAGGTGCTCGAAGTCTGCCAATTGATCCACTGACCGTAGAGAGCTGATCTGATCGGCTAGGCCATAAAGATTACCCTTATCCAGAATCGGTATCCTCAACAGTCGAATTGCGACTGAGCATTGAGTGGTTCACCGGTAAACATAGATAAAAAATTGCGGCCTTGCGTTTGAAAGCTGAAGATGTACCGTTGAACTAGAAGACTCTAGGGATAATGCGAAACTGCTCCAATCATCCCGCAAATCGCCTTATCCTCCCTCGCTCCCTCCTAGCCGTAGCTGAGTAGAGGATCATCAACACAGGAGACCGTGTCATCATCGGACAAATCCATTCGGTCGAGTATCGGTTAGTCATATGAAATCATGACAGATAAAAGTTGTATGATCGCTCAGATTGGATAGGATATACGCGTGTTCCGCAAGCAGCGAAACAATTCAGTTCAGAATATCATTTTATGGCATAATTACAAAGCAGTATCCGACCCGTTTGTTTTGAAACCAACCGTTATATTCCGTCCGAGTGCAACACTAGCCAGATGTGTGGAGCGTATAATCTTCTGTGTTCGTGATCGAGCACAACTAACTGTACGTCACAGAAGATTCACTATAAGCGTTCAATAGTTGTTCAGCAATTTCACGCTTTGCTAGACGTACGTATATACACTCCGATTGCGTCATTGAGTGATCAATGTTATTGCTGTATTAGATTTACACTGTCTTTGGCGGTGGTTATGTCACCAAATTGTGAGATGTGAGTCCCGGATTCGAACCACACCCCCGCAGCCCGTCTTCCCAGACAGCCTTTGTATGGCCGCGGCTCCCCTCCCTGAATGTTAACTGTACATGTGTATATTCAATAAATAAAAGAGGAAGTAAAAAGACAGACAGCAGTAGTCCAACTTCCAGCAACTTAGCAGTGACAGTATTCTACTGATAGAGTGTAACTTCCGTGAAGTAAAAATAAAACGAATTGTCGTCTGGTATTATAACCTATGTATTTTTTGGAGTGAAGCTGAATCACAAATATATGTCTTTTAGTGTTCTTGAAATATTTTAAACAGGTTTCCGTCCTTATTCACTAGGCACTCTTGTTGATAATACGCGTATTTTTAAAATAACCATAGGGGTAGGCATTGTCCGGTTTTGTTAGTGGTTACCTTTCGATGTTATGGGACGAAGGTAAAAGCAGAATATCATTTCTAAACATTTCTTGTTGTTGAATATTGTTATAACTGGTGTTGTTGTTGTTGTTGTATGCCAACAATTGAAAATAGACACAAACTCCGACTCCAAGCAATGCACTAATTAATTCTTGTAGCTGTAGCGGATTCAAAACATCGCATATCGATACTCACAAGAAGCGCCGAAAGCAAATCACAGAGATTTAACATACTAAGCTACAGTTTAAGTATTTTCCATAATTTGAATATACGCACAATTGCACAGCTCATAATAGTTAATCTGTTGTGATAACTTTTAACTTCGAAAGCATAACACGCAATGCTTTTGACGATTTTTGTGCGCTGGCCACTACAGGCCAGCAAGAGATAACCCGCCCAGCAATGCTTTGTCGCGATTTACTCTTAGAAACAACATTCTACCCGCAGAGAGAGAGAGAGTGAGTGAGTGAGTGAGTGAGAAGAAAAAGACTTTCTCGGAGTCACATATGATCTGAACGGAGAAGGTTGCGTGCGGGCGGGCGGGCGGGAGGGCCGGAGGTGGCGGGAGAGGGAGCAGCCGAGTTCAATTTATTGTAGCGGGAACTGCGGACGCAGTGAACTTCAAAGATAATTGAGTTTACTCTTTCAGTCCAAATTGACTGATTGCCGAGTAGAAAGGAAAATCGACAAGCAAAAATGCAAAAAACAGAATGCAAATTACAATATAAACATTTTCGTAATTGGTTGTGTTGCAACGCATGCTCACAATCTAATGAACATTAAAAGGCAATAACTTTGTTGATATATGTTTATGTATATATAGCGACGGCTGAAATTGCATTTTTTTTGTGTGTGTTAGCATTACTGAGCGATTCGGGACAATGTGAACCAGTTTGTTTTCAAAGCAAAGCGTGCTCGGGTCGGATTGCGGACAACTTACCGAAACACATCAAAAGGGAAGTATCTGTTCAAGATGTTAATGTTTAGAATGAAACAGAATCAAAAAGGACCAAACGGTTTTCATATTTCATAATTCAATCGGTCAACCATAGTGAAAATGGTTGAATCACGTGATCGACTGAGGTGTGACCGCGCTGTCCACCAGGCAATACACACAGGTTCGAATGTTCTGCTTTCACCTAATCCGAATAAACTCTCTCGGGGATGCTGTTCAAAAGCTGGGTGATACGTTGCACAAAACAACAACACTTCCGGGCTATTTGCGTTGTTTAGCTTTTATTTGGTATAATCAACTCTTCTCGAGGTCTCACAGTGCATACTATGAATAGACCGCGCCGATCACCGAAAGTCGGATAAAATCCGTAACACAGCAATCAACGGGCCCCAGATCCCCACGGTAGGGACGCCACAGCGTTGTTATCAGTTCAGTGGTAGACATATAGTTATTTAATTTCGGTTCGTTCGTTCCTTCGTTGTCAAGAAAAATCTATACACAAATAACCTCCAAAACCCAGCTGGAAAGCACAGATGATCAGGGATGAACTTATTGGGAGGGAAGAGAGATCTTTCGATTTTTATGTGAAGGCAATCTCCGGCGTTTGTTTCAAGAATAAATAAATATATGCAATCATGAAAAAATTCAGTCATGCACAACAAAATATTCAGGAAAGCTTGTTTTCTAATATTATCTTCATTTTCATTATAATCATTCAAGTAATCATCATTATTGTCTCCGTCTCCAGCGTACAGAAGAGGCGGGAAACAAAAATGTGATGATTATTCGGCAAACTTGATACATAATGAATCTGGAATAGTAATAGCGCCAACAGGAATAAGGTGTTTCTTTTGTTTAATCGTGAATCAGCGGCCCATTGAAATTGTCTTCTAATGAAAGTACTATTCCAACGAGTGTTGGTTGGATTCCAGTAACCTGGATTCGAATCTAACCATCTCCGGACCAGACGTGTTTGAAACAGGATTTGCCAGCAGCACCCGGAAATCTCGCAAGCGCATTTGTGACTTTCATAAAGGATTCCACAATGAGGTTATGTAACAGCCCAAACTGCATACGTCATTATTTAATTTGTGGATAAATGTGCAGAATACTCACCAGAGAATGTGAACATATTCTTCAGTACTGCAAGAAACACTACCACATTCCAATGGATTTCAAAGGCACAAAAGTATCTCAAATTCGGCTGGGAGGTAAGAGTAAAAAACTTCTAACAGTGTACAGGTGATATTGGGTGAGACCCCTTAGTGAGCCAGAATTAATAGATTCATTCATATATTTTAGCACTGAAGCAGGTCTATCCTTCTGAAAACGGGGCGGACTGATTGCACCCCTTGGTGGGACAGCTGGAGAAAGATTTTACACGACTATGACTATGTTCTGTAATGAGCTGTCATTCCATCGAGACAATTCCCCTTTCCCGTAAAACATATCATCATCATATGCCACTAAGACAAGCGATTCAACGAGTTCCAAGGGTATCAAACACACACACACGTAACAACGGTAATGAAAGTCATAAATCACAAGAGATATCACATACATCCACCTGATTAGATCACACAGCCAGCAGGATAAAATTCTGGCAACTTGTGATATCTGTCTGATGTCTGAAGATGAGTTACTGGGGAAAGATAACAAAGATGAATAGGCCACGCGCTACCCAACGAAATGACCAGTTGTCAATTTCTCTTTACATGAATTCAATCACTGTCCTAGTATAAGTATATTTGAACCTCTCAACCACACACACCCTATCCCGATGACTGGTTGGCCGACACATTTCATACACGGCAGTGACTATCGGGAATTAGTGGTTTTGATTTTGACTGAGACTCCTTCGTACTTCATCTTCACGCACAATAGCAGTACACGCAATGAATCTGGAATTCAAAGCACGGACTCAATTATAGATGTGTACCTTTGATAAGCTATTGTGGACATTTTAACTCGAATCCAGTGCTTCCCGATTGTTTGCTTGATCGGATGTCCTAAGGATTGTCCGTGAAGACAAGCTGTGAAAGATGACCAGTCGGTGTAGAACTCATTTATTCCACAATGCTACTAATAAGTAGTTATCAATTAAATGCTTATTAAGTTGGCGAAAATGATATATCTTATTGTCCAAAAGTTAGAGTGGTTGAATAAGGAGCCATAGGTTATCCACATGAGGACAAGAGTATAGAGCAAATTTTTCAGTTTTGAGAAACTCTGACAATCATTCAAAAGACAACATACTTGTTCAGAAAAATCTAGAGTATTACCAGCTGCTGAATATTGACCCGTCGCAGTGCATAAAGCGTTCACATGAAAACTAATGAAAACCCATGAAAATTGAAAGTTTAGAGATTTGAACGTAACCATTTTAATTATTGCTTCGTGTATAGAGTGAACAGAATGTGAACTGAAGAACTGGGTGGTTGAGTCTCACCAGTAGCAGTTACGTTTAGACTGTTTCCAACTAGGTCCTCACCCCAATTGTTAGCGCTGAGATGAGAGAGGTGTAATGCCCGATAGTGCTATATAGTACAAAAACAAGATGAAAAACAGTCGGATCAGCTAGTTGGCGGTCAAGTGGATAGTGAGGTCCGAGAATCGAGAACTTCAGTTGGGTCGCCTGTTCACCGAGCTTAGCAATTTGTTTGCGAACGTTCCATTACCAGCCGAGGTGAGATCATCAGTGCTTGTTAAGTGGTAGTGTTCTGCTTGTACCCGTTCGTTTATATATGTGTGTTCACGTATAACGACTATCTTGTCCCTTGTTCTCATTGTGTTCCACTTGCATTGCTGATGAGACCAACCAGCTAAACGACTGTTTGGTGCTTCCTGGCTTTACAGTTTACTCCATTTTTTAACCTACAAATATAAACGGTAATCATAATTTCGCGGCCAAACCAATCGCGGATCGTTCTGACCACACGGAAATGGAATGCACACTGTGCGGTTCCAAAAGCCACATTTATCTTACTCAAAACAATATGGAAGTCAAATGCACACCGAGCAGTGTGTGTGTGTGTTCATGCAGTACTGAAACTGGTGTTGCGCAATCACATGACAAGTAAAGTTAGTCATATACAAACCTTCGAAACGAAAGAGACTGGTTCACTTCTCCCACAAAAATGGTTCTCGGTCAATTATATTTTTCCCTCGACCAAAAATAACAGACTTACTCATAGGTTTCAAACATATAGTGCAGATCAGTGCCGATGACTGACACGTAAAAAGGAGCATACAGGGAAGAGAGAGAGAGAGATGGATGAGTTTACGATACGAGGACAATAGGACATGTTGCAACACTCGTCTATCACAAATAGTATGCGGGTTAGCCATATCCGTGAGCTCAATTTACAGGCTTTATTTCACTTAGAATCAAAAAACAAATTTGAGAAAATTTGTGTTTCGTTTCTTATTGATCTTTCAAGCTCATGCCAGAGAAACTTCCTGGAATCAATCAGTCTTTTTCCAGCCAATTGCATCAGCCTATATGAGCAGTGATTCGGATATTTGGATACAGGTTCAATTCAACGGAAATCCGAGCACTTGCAAATGACCGAATGGTGGTCTTCAAGTGTTGGGCAAATAATGAGACCGCAGTCCGGTGAGAGTCGAATACGACCTGAAGGCCGGAAAATGGTAAACGCAACAAGGTTACTGTAATTCACTCTCCTTCACAACTGTTTTTCTGCATAGTTTTTATTTGCTTCCTCAAAGGAACTATCTGTGGTGCGGAATATTTTCAAACAATCAAACTGACTCAGACGCTGAGCTCCAATAGTATCTGGTTTATACTCGGCTTCTGAGTTCCGACTATTGGACCGACGTGGGTATAAAAACATTAAGATTTAAGCTACCGTAACAGGGATAGAACGAAATGCTTTTAAAGAATCTGTGTTCATGGTGAAAACAATTGTGATAATGGTATCGATTGTAATGGCAGCACAAGTAAATGATGGGTTTCGTTATGAACAATTATAATTATAGCCCAAATAATATGTAAATATATATATATGAGCTTCAGTGATGTTGGAAATTTGCAGTAAATAATCCAATTCGGCGTATCGACCATGTTATCTGTCGAAATGGTTTATAGTTTTCAGGATATTCCGTTTTTTTCACGGAACCCTACCCACATACACACCAGAGATTTACCCCTTTACTCCCCCGTCCGTGTCCGCATTTTGGAAGCAGTTCTTTAAAGGAATTAAACCCTGAAAACACAGTCGATAATTCAAATAATGTTTGTCAATGAAGCGTTAAGCTTTTTACTTTATCTTCTTCCTGTTACAATGTCCTTGTTAAAATGTCCTACAGACGCTACTGTACAATTATTGATTAATGTTTGAGCTGCACCATCAATTTAATAAGGCCCGTAGCTCGTGCGTTCAAACCCCACAATCGTTACCCACCTTCTCCTCTTTCATTTTTTCTCAACTGACCTCTGTATGACCACAGTCTCATACTGATTACATCATTGTATGGGCAGTAAAATAAAAAGAAAGAAAGAGGTTCTTCCGGTACATGTGAAGGATCACGCACAACCCATTTGTTGACCGGCAATTTTAACTCGTTCAGATGAGGAAATGTGACAAGAGTTTGGCACAATTTTCTAGCATGGAAACCACACACACACACACACACACACACACACGAACGTAACACGTTCAGAGTGAAATTCCTCGCAACTGGTTTGATATCCATCCATGGACTAAACACAAAAATCAAATATAAAGAGATCGGAAGTGTTTGTGCGTGATACAGAACCGAAGAGAAGCCAAGTTTCACGGCGACGAGAGCGCACTCAAAAAACGGGGGCTGAACGTGGTAAGACAGAGTTCAGAGAGTTAAGGTTATTCTACTACCCTATCACTTTCGTCAGGTAGTGATTGATCACCAGGACGGAATTTGCACCCTTTGTAATGTGGATTTTGGGGCCTATCTATTGTGAAATCGTTTCAGTTGCTCACGCGAAAATTTCAGACAAACTTTAGAGGAAAGGGATTTCGATATTCCACTTAAAGTGTACCATATGAAACTCTGTTCTGGAGATAAACTCGTTCAATTTTACAGATCACGTAATATATAACAGGCAGTTCTAGTCTAAATATTCAACTCCAATAGCCACATCGTGCGCTTATCAGAACCGACAATGAGTACGAACCCCGATTCCTTCCCAAAAGATGCAAAATTACGTTGATAAGCATGGATCTAAGTCACCTTGTTGCCCAATACCAAATATTCTAATTGTAAATTATTCCACGTAATAACTAAAGAAGCGCATAGAAGAAACACAGTCTATCCGAATAATTTGTATACACGTCATCTTACTGGTTACTCTTTTCTTGGGTTTGTGTAAAGGATTCTCTGAACATTTATTTGCATTTTTATGCAAAATATTCATTATTTTTACTGATGAACAAACAATCTGAGCGCATGTGAGCAAACTTCATGAAACTTCAAGCGCGCTTCTTCAGTTCATCCTCTTGTGATCAAAATTCATGGACTGTCTTATGCAACCTTCCGTCCTTATCGATCTGTGTCACGTGATCTCCCAATCAATCGCGAGAACAGTCTATGTCGTTGTTTGATTTCTTATGTGAGGATTGATCTCCCTACGGCAGAACTCTTTGTAATGTAATATCCGATGAACATCATCGCTCAATTTTATCGTTCCTGATGGGACTCGGCAGCTGTGTGCATTTTCTGGGTTCTAAACTGAACTCAAACTGCAAACTTTCGGGATGGTATTCGGAACCCCTACCACCGGCGAGCTATAAGGTCGACGGTCAACATATCAAGCAAATGGCTCGATCAATGAAGAAAGTTCATGATTCAAGTCCCGGTAGGGATATAAAAAAATTACACACTGGTGACGTCATTGCAAATGAAACGCATGTGACGGATGAAGAAGTCCAATAAGTGAAACACACATCGAAGACTATGCGGAGTGCCTGGTACATGCGCTAATAGAATGAGTTAATCTAATCTAATCACGGTCCTCCAACCTGATCTATATTTGAAGAACCTTACAGTATTTCCACTGGAAGGTCGTTTCCTTGATTTTATTCTAATTGTGGGCTGGACTAATATTTATTAATATATATAATTGTGCTTGTGATGAAGAATTTCCAAATGTGATGAATTCATCGTGTAAATGAGACGTGAGCTAACAAGATCGGAAGCACTGGACTGCTGTTTCGACCTGGTTCGGTCTCATCAGCAGTGCCAATCCATCGAAACCGGGACCTCATAGGTAGAACGAAAGCATGCTACCCACTCGGCCACTGGGCAACTGATTAGACTGTTTCTCATTTTCCATTTACACGATATAGCACAACCCATCCATGCGAGCTTGTTGCTCGTCTCAGCACTAGCTTCCAGGATTATGAATCGGTTGGAACAATTCACGACCTGATAATTTGTTGTAGGAGAGTAATGGATGATTGGATTTGTTTATATGATGGACTGGTCGTGTAAATGAGGTGTGAGCTGAAAAGCTGAGAAGTTTTGGACATCTGTTTCGATCAAATAACGGAATAGCATGAAACAGTTCAGCGCAATAGAGTGCGGCTACAAGGCGTATCACAAATGGGACTAACTCATAGAAAGCAAACATAATCGGCATTTCTGGTGTTTTGTTCAATTCTCCTTCCCTAACAATATAAACAAACCAATCTAATCTTTCTGTTTCCGTACATGCTCTCTAACTTTCCTCCTTCACAATCCCAGTCGATCCTTGTTTTTTCTATCTTCTCTACAAAGCAGAAACTTCAAACATCTTTCGGTTAACTCGGGGACCACAGGATGCACTAAACATTCCATGACCTATTCTAACAGTCTCGCTACAACAACCAGGATGCCCACTTGGTCTTTTGTAACATTTATTAAACAATCCAACCCAGAGCGAGAAAATATAATAACCCGGGTTAGAATTGTTTTATTGCAAGCATTTGAGTGTTTGCCCACACAAGTCGCACCTCATTTTCCGACCAACTGGACATGATATCAGAGCTTACTTGCCTCAGTTTCAGTTTAAACAACCATTAGGTATGCATTTCCGTGCGACGCTTTTGGTTGCTGTCTTTTGGCTGCCCATTTTGATGAACAGCAGGAGGAAAACCGGAAGGTTGAAAGTAGAATTGAAGAGAAAATTGAGAGATTCAGTGGATTAATGATGCAAAGAAACTGAGAAGATGCACGAACGCCACTTTTTACGACACTCAGCCATGTCACTCAGTATCTCCATCCCCATCGGTTACAATCATCCCGAGGTCCCCAGCCAGGGAGTCTAACGGGAATTATGTAACTCAGACTCCTGGTTATGGATTTCATACCCTCATGCCAGGTCTTAGTTTGACCACACCTGGTTTTATTCGCCCCACTACCTGCTTCAGCAAACATTTGTTTAAATCAACCTCAACCACTAAATGTGTGTGCTTGCGTGTCTACAAACACAAACTTAATCACACACGTATCAATTTTTGCTCAAGCTGAGTTCACTCTCTCTCTTCCGGTATAATCCTTTAAATGCGACTGATAATGAAAGGTGATATCAGTTGACGGAAATCATATGTGAAATCACAAATCAAAATCACCGCGAAAGAGAAATCTACTGACTGTTCGATCAAGTGTGACAATACTGAATAGATTTCAAACAAATTATTCAGTTTAAACAGTCGATCAGTTTTAAAGGTCATGTAAACCGGGGTCTTTTATTTCGATTAAAGTAACACAACAAAAAGTGGTCAGGTTGCGAAAGTTCCCACCCGAGTCACAACCCTGTGGCCTAGTGCCGAGATTAGCGAGGTGAATTACCTCAATTAAGCTCGTTAAGATGGATTGTGCTATATTGTGAATACTCAACATGAGAAACGGTCGGATCAGCTGCCCGGTAGTCGAGTGGATAGTATGATTGCGGTCTACCTGTGAGGTCCCAGGGTTCGATCCCCAGTCAGGTCGATGGATTCGCACTGCAGATGAGACCCATCCAGGTCGAAACAGCTACCTAGTGCTTCCAAGTTTTCAGCTCATGCCTCATTTACACAGAATGACGAAAATTAATTCCAAATGCATTGCATTTCAGCAATGTTTCGGCAATCAATAAGAACAATCAATTTTACCTTGTTCTTTTGCCAGCTCAATATGCACACATTAAAATACAATCTTCTTACAGTGAACACAAAGAAGTCCCATTTGTCCGGGACTATTCAGGTATAACGATCACTCAGAACAGTACCGATCTCAAGTGGTACGACTTTCTTACAGAGGAGACCGTTGAGAACGAAAAATCGATTCAATTGCCGATCAATCATGTTGACAGTCGACCCGATCGCGGGAGCTGAACCATACGTATAATGGGAGAGGATGGTTGTGAACATGAACTACGCGAACGTAGCACGGCGCGCAGCGCATTTCAC